TACATTGTACTTATTTTTTGATGTAAGTACATAGTAGTTAAGGCCACTTAATATAAAGTGGGACCATTCCATTTATAACTGCAAAGGATTATCATCAGACCTTGAGCTGATTTCTATGGGGCAACGGCGCTTCTCACAGCTGTTTATGGAATGCCAATCTTTTGGGGAGCAAATCTGATCAGTTTTCTTCCAAAACAAGCAACATTTCACAAATGATGGCTTGTAACACTCCAAAGAGAAAGGAAAACTTGAAATCGCACCATACGACCCCTTTAAAGTCAACATGAAATGCTTCAGTAATGTGATTGATTTTTTTGAGTAAAATAACGTGAAAAGTGGGTGTTACATATCAGAATGGAGGCAGTCCAAATGCAAGTTTACTATTGGTTAAAATGAACCAATAGAGTGCAAAAGTCAGGTTCTGGAAGTAAAAATCCCATTTATTTTCTTCATAAGGAAACTGATTTTTAAAGATAACCAAAAAGACAGACCTACAAGGTGTTGATCGACGGTATATGCTTTTGTTGAAGCCATCAGCCTGCATTATTTCAACTTATTTTTTAAGTAATCGTTTTCAACTGCAGAATTTGGGGTGAAAAACTATATTACAATATCAGACAAGCAAATTATGTCAAAAACACTTTAGCACTTACTCACTCTAAGTAATAGATTACATTTCACTGATGCTCTCAAACTATTTAAATCAACGCTTCAATGTTTTTCAGGGCAAGGACATCTTAGACGATAGAGACATAGAGCAGGGACCCCCAATACAAAATGTGTCAAGCAGAGCTTTAAGCATATAGCCTTTGATAGTATTAGGAACTAATCATATTATGATTAAGAATAAATTATATTATGTTACATGTATATTATGTTAAGAGAGTAGATCAAAACTATGCACATTATTGTTGTTGCACATGCATCACTGCCTGTATATTACTTTTTATTGTTAAAATTGAGATTTATGCATCTTAACAAATAACATGTTGAGATAAAAATAATAATTCATTAGTTGTTTGCAGTTGTTTGCAAATTATTTTAATGGATTTGCTGAGTCATAAATTGTAATTTACTAGTCATATGGACATTTGCATTCACCTGAACTTTAGCTACAAGTTTATTAAAAATTCACATTTTAATTTTACTGCGAGATGGACAATTACGAATCAAATCACCGAGTATCTGAAATTAGTGAGGGTTTTCTAATAAAGTGCAGATGTAATGTGCAAGCAACAGGTCCACCATAACAGAAATAACAATGTACAGTGAAACATTTAAGATTATTTACAAGGCATTACTTTTACAAATAATTAGAATAGAGTTTAAAAAATATATTGATGCGAATATTTTTCGAGTATTCTATTAGTCTGCATTTAAATTGCACATATCTATTTTGACATGCCATGTTTTTGTCCCATGCTTGTATCACTATGTCAACTGCAGCTTCAGAGGGAATCACATTTATATGTAGATGTCACTTCCAAAACTATGCAGCATGTAATTGGCCGTCAGCCCTCTTAGCAGCATGAAAAATAATACTTTTATTCAATGGATCATATCTGTATAGCCTCGAAAGTGTGAAAGACCACTCACATTACAATCACTAAAAAGCTGTCACTCATCTCAGTTACGGATCTCACAACGTTCCACTAAAATCAATAAAATCAATGTCTACACTGCATAATGAATCTCTTACTTACATCGTGTTGTTGTTTGTGAATGACAGAGGATTGGTGAGAGCGAGCCTAACTCAGCACTGAACAAAATATCCAGCATTGTGAGCAGTGAGTGGATTCTAACTTAAAGGGGTCATATGATGCAATTTAAAATTTTCCTTTCTCTTTGGAGTGTTACAAGCTGTTCGTGCATAGATAAGATCCCCAAAGTTGCAAAAACTAAAGTCTCAAACCCAAAGAGATATTCTTTATAAAAGTTTAGACTTGTCCACGCCCTCCTAAAACGCCTCGTTTAAACACACCCCTACATGTCTACATCACAGTATGGGAAGATTTGCATAACACCGCCCAAATGTTCACGCAAAGAAAGAAGGCGTAACTTTTATTCTCGCTGTAGTATTGTTGTTGCCGCCGCCGCCATGTCGTGAAGACACTGTGTGTTTCGTTGTGAAAGCGAAACTACTTTGTTTGGCCTTCCAAAAGAGGACGATATCCGCTTCGTCATGCCTAGAGCTGATCCGTGCTGGTCGCTGAGGAAATACATCAACTTCGTGCTGTGGATCGCCGGATCGGCTTTCACCGTGGACAAAGCAGAGTCCAGCCCGGGGTCGTCACATGTGGTTGCCGCAAGCCCGCCGGCCACTCCTTCGTCGAATCTGCCGGCCGTGCCATTCTCAAGTCCGTCGGCCGTTCCTCACTCAAGCCCGCCGGCCGCCGCTCACTCAAGCCCTCCGGCCGCTGCTCACTAAAGACCTCTGGCCGTTCCTCACTCAAGCCCACCGGCCACTGCTCACTCAAGCCCGCCGTGGGACACAACTAGAAATCAGTTGTTAAGTTGTATTTACAACACTGTTTTAAATATTTCCAAATATTCAGATGTGTGCAACGCATTTTACGGAGGACTCTTTCCTGACACACTTGAGGTATTCAGCCAATCACAACGCACTGGATGGCTGGCCAATCAGATCATACCTCGCTTTTCAGACCGATGAGCTTTGTAAAAATCGACGCGTTTCAGAAAGGCGGGGCATAGAGGAGAAACAATAATGTACATTATGTGGAAAATAATGTGTTTTTTTAACCTTATACCGCATAAACACATTGCATTACACCAAATACACAACATAATGTTCTTTTTAGCAACGTCATATGACCGCTTTAAACACCTCTGATTGGCCTTTGCGTTCAAGAGATCAACAGACATGTCATGTCTGTTGGCTACATTTCTCACTGCTGCAAAAATAATGTAAATAGGAACAGAGGTCAAACTGAAAAACACAATGGAACGCTTGCTAAATCTGTTTCGCCAATAATATATCATTACAGCATCAACTGAGGGTGCTTTTGCTTTCGTTTCAGGGTGCCTATATTTAAAATTGACTTTGTGATATTTTGTAACCATTTTAATTTTTTATTTTTTTTATTACTTGTGATCAAACATTAATTGGCGGACCCCCGGTTGAAGACCCTTGATTTAAATATATATATATGCAACTTTTGCAATAAACGTAAAATATGTTTTATATATTTAATTAACATATTTCAATCAACAGTTTTATATTTATCCATTGTTTTATGTCAATTATGTTGTTCAATATTTCATGGGATTATAGCTCTTTCCCTCATTAAAGCTGTTACCTCTGTCAACACTTTTGTTTCAAATCACAGTTTGTAATGTTGTGAATCACCTCATAGCTGGTTGCTTTGTTTCATGGCTTATAACTTCTTAACAAATATTTAAAAAAGTCCCTTTGTCATAAATTAATGGAAAAATACCGCCAGAACCAAGGCCGCTGAAAACATCAGCAGAACATTTTAAGTGAAGTACAAGTCAGCTGTTTCTGATAAAGACTATGACAACATTTTGTCATTAGAATAATGTAAAACAGGGTAAATTCTGATTTCGTGTTGACTTTGACTTTATGTGTTGTTATGTCATTTTAGGTTACACAAAGTGTTTCCAAACTTATTCCAAGATAATCACTCAGACCTAATTGAATTCTGCAATAGATGCTATTAAAGTCATGACTCTTCGAGACATTACTAGGATGTTTTTATTCAGTTTTAAACAAATATTTCTGACACATTCTTGAGCCTCTGTCTTGCCTCATTTTAAAGCATCACAAATGAACCAAGACCTTTTTGAGTCATAGGAGCTGCTATTTTTGAACGTCTGAAATCATCTCAGTCTGTCTTGGCGGTACTCTGCAAGTGGTACTGTCTGAAACCATTACATAAGAGAGAGGAACAGAGCAAAGACAAAAAAGTAAGGCCACACGATAGATTGCACACTATAAAATACACCAACAATCGACCCTTTCCGCAAATGGATCTTTTGTTCCACTCTACCCGGAGCATTTTTCTTTGAATATAACCCAAGCCTTTTGTCAAGAAAGAAATGATTACACATAATAACAGCCTAAGACGAATATCACTGGCAATGACGGCTCTCCATGGTGATACGTTTCACTCCGCTTTTGTTCTAGTTGCCCACGTCGCCCGGCTTTCCAACACATGCTAATGGTTCTTTAGAGTTAAAACAGGAAAAAAATAATCTCATATACTTACAAACATCATTATACACATTGTACACAGGGCAATATGATCCAAATCTCGCCAGACTGGAGGATCCAAACGTGTTGTGGATGAACCCTTGTAGTTCGCCGGAAACAAATTCGAGAATTAAAAAGGGAACAAATCGAGATTTCATCCATTTTTTTTTTCTTCGAACAAAATAAACATTTACATGGAATTATTGGTAATGATCAAGGCAGTGAGCACTACTGTACTGATGTGCACGGGAGTTTTTTTTGTGATGGATGCATATCTCTAGGTAAATATACAGAGAGAGTTCATCAATGGGTCACGTGATTGCATTTTATAGCCTGTTCTCAATCAACCGTCCATCATGATATTGAAAAACAAGGTGGGTTACTTTCCTTCTGACATATGAAGTCGTTTGTAGAAGTTCTCCATGTTCAGTGTCAGCCACCGGTGGTTCCTCGCTTTCTCTTCAGTGGGGCAGTGGTGTTTCAGTCTTTTAGAAGCTCCTTTGAAGGATTTGTTGTCTTTTGTTTCGACTGGTTTTTAAAGATAGGGTGTGATACACACATACACACACACTGAGAGAGAGAGAGAGAGAGAGAGAGAGAGAGATCAATGTCACTATAGAGAAGTTCTTTGATTGAGGTCAGAAGAATTCATCAGATGATTCCTGGTGTTGTAGAGTCAGGCTGTGTTTACAGAACCTGATTGACCAGTGCAAAGGCCAGTGTCAGTGTGGCGGCAGAAACACTGATTGAAGTCACAGATGAATGTCTGGCTCTGTTGTTGTCAGCCTGGTGAGAGCCCACCGAGTCAATGGATCCCTCCATTGGGTTCAGCACATTCTGAGGAAATATTACAAGCTTTTTTCAGTTCAAGTATTAAGATTACAGGTCATTCCTGTTACTCACTACTCACTGATCTTTAAAAATAAGCATGCGTGTGGTATTTCTATAAAAGCTTATTGGAGACTTCCATAAAAGTGCTTTTGTAAAGTTCAGACTTAAAACTTTGTTAATTTTAACATGATTATCTATACAATGACTATTTTTGACTTCATGTTTCTGCTGTTGTTTTTCCTGAATGAAGTCACTTCCTGGTGCATGTCATTAAAGTTAGACTAAAAGATGGAAAGTGATATTGTGAACACTGGAAACACCTGTGAAATAATTTCTAATCAAATTGCCAAGAAAATTTGAATTAGAGAAAGAAAAATTTGAGAAATATTTGGAATATATATTTTTTTCATTTACCAGTTTTTCATGTTAGAAATTAGTGCTGCATCATTACACAGTTGTTAAAAAAGAAATAAAATGATAGTGATAGAAGATCCATAGTGATCTAATTATGATACTGCGGTAAAACTAATAATTTCCATCTTTAAAAACTGTGCATTTAATAATTTGCCCAGAATACATAACATATCCAGCTAACGAAAATATGCTCTTAAGAACATTTAGCTAATGTTCCCATTAAGTTATTTCCCAAAACGTTATTTCTGAATGTTCTCTGAATACTCAAAAAAAAAAAAATTGTTTTAACGTTTTACGATCTTTTTGTTTTAGGTTTTGAAAACATTAAAGGAATATTCAATTTTTATAATTTTCCAAACATTGTGGGAATCTTACTTTTGAATTTTCTCTGAAAGTTCTGAAACAAGCAGTAGGCCTATCATTTAAAAAAAAAAAATAATTAAAACATTCCATGAATGATGTATAAATAAAAATAAATAAAATTGTGTTTTTTGAGAACATTAGTAAAGACTAGATAGCTCTGAATGAACATTGCATTGATGCTATTGAAACATTTGTTCATATTGAACATTTGTTTATAGCTTTAAGATAACCTTTCCAGAACGTTCTGGGAATGGTTCTTGTTAGCTGGGTAGAAAAATATGAAGTTTTAAGGTAGGAAAGACTTTTATAATTATGTTTGATAATTGTGCAGGTGAAATATGTCTTACCTCATCAGCGCATTCAAAACCGTTAGAACACTTCTGCTCACTGTCCTGAGAAAATATAAATAATTAATATTCTTAGCATCATGTGACCATGACCTGCAAACCGTACTGTTCAGTGTTAATTGTGTCTGGCTGCCCTCCATCCATCATTCCACCGTGATCTACACCTGTACGTGATCTATACCTGTACTGTTTTTTTTTTTGTTTTTTTAAAGAATGGTCCAAGACATTCACTAAGCCGTAGTGGAACTGTGTAATATGGATGTTAAAATTGAAGTGTGTAATTTTTAGATGTTGAAATACTTAGCTTCTACATAGCTTAATATGTAGAGACTTTAAGTAAGTGATTTGTAGGTTGATTCCCCAGAAAAGTGTAAACACAGCGGTGCTTTCAAACTGTGTTTGTTTGAGCATCTCGACAAGCCTGACGCAACAACATTGTCTCAACCAATAGCGTGAATTCAGGGTGGGACTGTCTGTTTAACTGACCAATGATAGATGAGGGTACAGACATAAGCACAAACTTAACCCATAAATACTCAATAAATGACAGAAATCAGTTGACAGAAGATGGAAATTATGTGGCCAGTCGCTTCGTAAGTGTCACTTCTGTGCAAAATGTCACTCATATCAAGGTGCTTTGAGCAGGGTTTTTTTTTTTTTTTCTCATGCCATGAAGCAGAATAAATGCATTAGATACCCTAACATTTGAAAGGTATGACACACAGTCATGCAAACACTTAACATGTTCAAGACATTCTCATCTGGTTATGGTTTGTTAGCTACAAAACAATCATAAACGTAACACCCCGTCTTTATAAGAAAAAAAATGAATAAAAAAAAAACAACGGCAGCCTCTTTGATGCAAAACCATAATTAAGAAGCTTTACGAAAAAACGCACAATGATTTGCTTGATTGATTCTTTGAATTGCTTTTCCCACAAGGAACATGCAAAGTTTTAAAGCTGTTTTATGGTTCGGAAGGCTGTGCTGTATAATGCAATAGAAAGAAAGAAAGAAAGAAAGAAAGAAAGAAAGACTGGAATCACTGGAATTTAAAAAAAACAAAAACACTGACTTCAGAGGACTATTAAGCTGCTTGAAACGAAAGCAAACAAACAGAAACCCAAGCAGAACTTCACAGGCATGGTGACATTAATAAGCATTATTAATAACTGATAGTTTCAGTGGCCTATTTAACAGCACAGTAAAATCCCAGACTGGAAATGGATTCATCTCAGAAAACATGAATTTCCTTTTGTACCCATCTGTAAACATTCCATGACAAATTCACTAAACAGTTGTGGCCATTTTAAGCCCACAAATTTTCAACACAAAAACCTGTATACAGTATATTCACCCACCACCTGTAATCCAGTTTAACAAAGCAGTCTCTGCTCTTGTGTAGCAACATAAGCAAGAAAATGCCCTTAAACTCTGTGATGTCATGTGCTTTCGGTGTTGTATATACATTGTTCCTGAAGAAGGCTTGGTATTTTGGCAAATTTAATAAAATATTGAGCAGTTCCAGTAATCTGTCTGCTAATTTATGCTTCTGTTTGGATAGAAAGCAGCTCGTTTGTTTCAGAATCTCTCCAATTTCATGACATTTCTTTCTACAATGTAGATAATCATGTTTTTCAAACGTTTTTCTTCTTATGGACAATTGGTTCTGTTCACACACGACCTCTAAACACAAAAAATGCAGTTAAATTTATGGAAAACCTGTGGAAAAAAGCACCTATTGGCATTCTATTCAGCAGAAACATGCCTTTTTATGCAACTATACCAATTTTCTTCTTCAAAATAAAACGTTGCCTTGGGTGGAATAGAATTTGAACAGAGATTCAGCCAGCACAATTATCAAGTAAAGCAACCTTGAAACAAACAAAATCTGATGCGTTATGCCTGACAATATTCATCCTAAAATGTCCAAACTGTTTGTGGTTACAGTTGCACTCTCAGAAAAAATGTGCAAAAATTTGACCTTTAGTACCATAAGAATACATATTACTACTCTAAGGTTTTAATATGCATCCTTTAGGTGTAAAGAAGGTACAAAGGTGTTCCATTAAGGTGTTCACATAATCAGAGACTTCACATTTTTGAGTATGGCTGCTTATTCAATCAATGCATTCCATACTCTCAAATTCTTTACTGCGAACGCAAGTTCAATACATTCAACTTGTAAACGCACCAAGTAATCGAGTAGATACAAGCAGCCATGTCAGATAACCACTTTTCACAGATTGACTGTTGCCTCCTACGACAGTTGCCGGAGACATGAATTAAAATAGTTATTTCCAGTGCGACTATATCATATTTCTGTCTGTGGAGTTTTCATAATTTGTTTCAGCATGGATGAAAGAGTACAGTCATTTTCTTCAGTACCCAGGGGCTTATAACTGAATCCTCAGGACTTAGGACAGAACTGCGAGGCGCGATAGGATGGAAGTGGTCACACTAAGTCATATCTCTATAATGCAGGCCCTTTCAAACTTGGATTAGCTGACAAATTAGTGTTTGTGATGACATCACTCATTTACATAGGATTACATAGCTGCCTGTATGCAAGACAAATCATACTAACATCCTTGAAATCAAACCAACAATCAACATACACTATCCAGTTGACTATAGAGACAGGATTTTCATGAGCCAGATTCAATCCTCAATCTTCCATCTGAGCATCAAGGCTCAATATTTTCAGGTATTACAGACCACATTGGCGTGGACAGCATGCTGCTGGTCTGCTCTGAATGGCCCCTGCATGAGCTGACAAATAATCTTAGTTTATGAATTATTCACCTGCATACTGAATTATACAGAAGTGTTTTACCTTCCACTAGACACTCTGCATATCTTCAGGTAAAACATGAGTTTCCCCCCCCAAAGAGGTATTCTGCTTCCCTCAGTTATTTTAATGATTGTAATAGTTGGTGTCCTCAAGGTTTGGCCTAGATTTAAGCACGGTTTAATGGCATTTGTGTGTTTTGCTTTTGTACATGCACAAAGCAGCAATATAGGTTTTAGCACTGATCCTGACATTCAGGGCGATTTTGATGCTAGTATGGCATGTACAGGACTATCCAAAATGAGTGTATAGGCTTACAGAAATACCAGCACTATTTCCCATTACACTGACCAAAAAAAAAAAGGGTAATGTGTTTTCTGACTTTAAAAGTGAACTGTGCAATTTCTGTAGCACTAGCATAAGGGTTGTTAGATCTGTGTAACCAAGCCAACCCATTGAACAATCAAAACTAGTCTGATGACAATTAAACTGTAGAGGTACATTTAGAATAACTGAGTCATTGGAGTCATCTCATTGGCAAAAAGTGTCCTAATTTATCAGAATTAACCCCTACACTGTAAAAAAAAAAAAAAAAAACGAAACTTGTATATAAATGATTATTGCACTATGTTTTAAAAGAAAATACTGTCTACTTAAAAATGTAGCATTGAATTAAATTGTTACTTGCCATTTCTTTGTAGTTATTTGTGAAATTGACTAGCAATTTATGAGTAAATATTGTTTCTACACTAAGCTTTTTTCAGTGTAGCCCAAATACCATACTAAAACTATGCCACTCCCACACCTAAAATACATTTTGAAAGGTATGCAATACTTGAAAATCACTGTATAGTACTAATCATAAACACAGTCTGTTTTCATAAACAAAATCGTTTTATCAACTTCTATTTGAAAATTAAATAATAATTTCTATTTAAAATCTTGTTCCTATGCTACTCTTCTCCTTCCTGGTCCTTTTCATACAGAACATATCTGTACAGACTCTTATCATCTGTCTCCTCATCTACCGGAGTTTTATCATTGGTAGAATATAAATTGGGTAGAGTAAAATAATCCAATACAAGCATTTCAGTGAAATATAACTAATGCAATATGTCAAACCTTTAACCCGAGAAAAAAAGAAAATTACACTATTGGTTGAGCTGTTGCTGTGTCAGGTTGGTTGGAATTCTCAAACAAACGATGCTTTGAAAACACCTCAGCATGTCAGTGTTTACACTTTTCTAGTGAAATCAACCTGCAAATAACTTACTTATAATTGTCACTGCATACTGCACTTTCAGAGAAAAAAAAAAAAAAAGGTACAAAGCTGTCACTGGGGAGGTGTCGTAACGTTCAAAAGCTAAAGGAACATTTTTGTACCTTTTTTACAGTGTTTGTGGTAACACATTACAATTAACACAAGTTAACGTAATCAGATTACTTTTTTCCAAGTAACAAGTAAAGTAATGCATTACTTTTAAATTTACAAGAAAATATCTGAGTTTCTTTTTCAAATAAGTAACACAAGTTACTTTGTTTTCCCATTTATTCACTAACAGCTCTCCTGTCCCCATGTTGATAAATTGGAAGTGCAGAGACAGGCTGAGGCTTATTCATTTAACTTTTGGTGTGAAAGGGCCTTTACAGTTGCCAAGAATATAACTTTGGGTTTTTTTATTATTGAAAGTAAATAAGCAAGCTCAGCTCACGTGACAAAAAGTAACGCAAAAGTAACATAATGCATTACTTTCCATAAAAAGTATGTTTTTACGAAGTAAAGCAATATTGTAATGCATTACTTTTAAAAGTAACTTTCCCCAACACTGCTTATTTACCCCTAAATGGTACATCTTAGTACCTAAAGTATACATATTAGTACCTTTTGAAAGGTTACCGCCTTAGTGACAGTCTTGTACCTTTTTTCCAAGAATGTAGGCTAAATAGGAAAAAGTATTTTAATATTGAAAAAACGGCACACTTCATCTTTAAATTCCTTAATTTTTTTAGCCTTGGATTCACTGGGTAATAATGTAATACAATGCAATGAACGACACAAATTTTCAGACCTACCTGAAGGTTGGCGCATGTGGAGAAAACACATGCACTGTCTATTTGCTTGACATCATTTGAGTTGATGACATGTTTGGTGATGATAGCTGGTTGCAGATTGGTCTGTACTGATGGGACTGCTGACTGAGACTCAGTGATGGGAACTAGACCCGCATCCGTGCCATAACCGAATGCCTGGATAGCGTTTCCTGCACACCGAAACACATGCACATATATGCAAATAAAAACACATGCATGAAAAAGCCATAAAGATTTAATGTGGGGAAAAAACAGACCCTCAGCAAAAGAGATCACATGTCCGTAAGACATATCATTTCTCAATAATGTGCTATTTAGGTTAAGCCCATAAGGATGACTGTTCAGGCGGTGAGCCGTGAGGTTACAAGAGGTTTCATCTCCACTCACTCAGGCAAGTGTTCTCTCTGAAGTCTCGGAGGAAGGCCTCGCACTCAGCTTCGTGATTTCCACTGCCTCGACAGCCACACCAAGGGGAAATGGTGATGTTGGTGTGGCTCGCATCCACATAGTTTGGAGTCACATCTGATCCTGTAAGGCCAAGGGTAGAGATTATCATAAATATTAATTAGGTGGGAACATGTTGGTTTATAGATCTTGCTGTCTGCAGTATAATGTGCTGTTTGGCTGAGTATAATGGCCAGAGGTTGTTGGTCTGCTTTCTTCTAGAGATCCATTTGTTCACAGCACTACCCCAGATTTTTAATCCTCCAGGATTCATTTTAGGTAAAAGGCTAAAAGGATGCAATTTTAAAGTTTCTCTGATGGTTTTCAGGCCTAATTTACACAGTTGAAGTAGTAATTATTTCAGATTGTTTTACGAAAGTTACCAAAAAGAAAAAAACAAACATTCAAAATAATAAATTTGTGCCTTAGGCCCAATGTTCCCTCTAAGCTGTGCACATACGCAGCCGCGCACCTCCTATGTTGCGACCGTGCATAATAAATAATATGTCACGCACAGGACAGATGCAAAAATTAGTTGGGGAAAGGTTGAATTCTAGTAAATGCAAAATAATTGCAATGCTCGGGCAAACCGCTATAGAGTTAATGTCGCTATAGAGTTAGAACCGGTGAATGCGGTTAACAGGTTTCATGGAAAGAGAATCATGTGCGCCAAATCAGTCGCTGTAGAAATCGAAATTATTTAATGGTTGCAGATGAAATAGCTTAGCACGAGAGCAAACGCAAACATAATGACATGTGAAATAAGATGTCATCATGTTTTAAAGAAGAGTGTTTTGATTAAGTGGTGTAAATAACAGATGATGGGCACAGAACATTTACAGTCACACACAGGTGTAGTAGTGTGCAAACTCTACATGGATATGTTTTAGATAACTGTAAAATAATTCACATTCACATTTTTTTGAAAATATATACTATAATAAATAACGTCTCAGGTTACTTATGTAACCATGGTTCCCTGAGTAGGGAACGAGACACTGCGTCCTCTAGGGGTCGCTATGGGGAACGCCTCGTCGTGACCCGTGTCTGAAGCATACATTGAAAAAACACCAACTCGTTGGCCGGCGACAGCCATGACGTCACTACCAGTGCGACTATAGTATAAATAGGCGCCGGGAGCACACATAATTCACTTCTTCGTCTGAAGCTTGCGTCCGCAGCATGGCAAGAAACCTAGAGGACGCAGTGTCTCGTTCCCTACT